TGCCATCTGTGCCTGCGTCCATAAATAGTGAGACGCACGCAGTGAGGGTGTTTCTGTTGGTATAAACTGGGGAGGTGGAGTGGCTGTGGGGAGATGTCTCAGCTCACATGGTGCTTTGTGTCCCCATGGAGTGACTCAAATCCAGGTTTTTTCCCAGGGCCAAAGCTTCTTCCAAAATGGACTTGGGTGCCTGACTGAAGTGGACTACAGATGGTGCCTGGGGTGACCCTGGGAATCTTCACAGGCAGGGATGGAGGCTCCTCCCGGCATTGGTCCCAGGTGCCATTCTTGTGCTTATCAGGATGTCTCAGAGCAGGCAGCTCAGGGGCTGTCCCTGCCAGGGTTCCATCAGAGGAGCAGAGCCACCGGGAGATTCCACATCATGAAGGATGTAGTATAGGGGTCTGACCTTATCCCATTGTGGGAGGTGGTCAAACCGTCTACACAAAGCCATTGCTTCTGTGTCTGGTCCTGGAGCCTGGAGCCTAGCGATTGGGAGGGGAAGATGGATCCAAGGTGGAGGACGCAAGGACAAACTGGGCCTGGCACCGCATCAGCCTCTCAGCTTCTGCCGGCCTCCAGGTTCACCCATGAGGGTGTCCTGCAGGAGCAGCCGGCAACCTTCTTCATGGCCCAGCACTGGAGAAGCCAAAGGAGGACCCAGCAGTTGCTGGAGGGGCTGTGGGCCTGGCTGCTGCCACATAACGCCAGTGAGCCAGCAGATCTGCCCGGTGGGAGCCCCAGAGATGCCTCCTATGTGCACCGACCTCCAGAGCACTGAGGAGACAGCCTCCACTGCAGCTCCGCCTGCCAACCTAGGGCAATACGGCCCTTGTGGCCCACACGTGCTAACTGAGAACTGTGCAGAGAGGTGAATGCTGGGAAAGGAAGTTCCAGTTCAGCTGAGTTGATGTGCTTCCCATCCATTGCAGGGACCCCTGGCTAAGTGCTCCCTCCTTCAAGAGCTGAGGGCAGTGTGCATCTATTACTGGGCTTACTTCACCCGTTCAGGGCAGTGTGCACGTATTACTGCCTTAATGCACCCATTCAGGACAGTGTGCATCTATTACTGGGCTTACTTCACCCATTCAGGGCAGTGTGCACGTATTACTGGGCTTACTTCACCCGTTCAGGGCAGTGTGCATCTATTACTGGGCTTACTTCACCCGCTCAGGGCAGTGTGCATCTATTACTGGGCTTACTTCACCCGCTCAGGGCAGTGTGCTTCTATTACTGGCTTAATGCACCCATTCAGGACAGTGGGTATATATTAGTGTGCTTCCTGCACCCGCTCAGTGCAGTGGGTGTCTACTACTGTGTTTACTTCACCCGTTAGTGGCAGTCAGCGTCTATTACTGTGCTTACTTCACCAGCTCAGGACAGGGGGTGTCTATTACTGTGCTTACTGCACCCTCTCATGGCAGTGGGCGGCTATTACTGTGCTTGCTTCATCGGCTCAGGACAGTGGGCATCTATTACTGTGCTTACTTCACCAGCTCAGGACAGGGGGTGTCTATTACTGTGCTTACTGCACCCTCTCATGGCAGTGGGTGGCTATTACTATGCTTACTGCAGCCTCTCATGGCAGTGGGCGGCTATTACTGTGCTTGCTTCATCCGCTCAGGACAGTGGGCATCTATTACTGTGCTTACTTCACCCGCTCAGGGCAGTGTGCATCTATTACTGGGCTTACTTCACCCGCTCAGGGCAGTGGGCATCTATTACTGTGCTTACTTCACCCGCTCAGGGCAGTGTGCATCTATTACTGGGCTTACTTCACCCCCTCAGGGCAGTGTGCATCTATTACTGGGCTTACTTCACCCACTCAGGGCAGTGTGCATCTATTACTGGGCTTACGTCACCCGCTCAGGGCAGTGTGCTTCTATTACTGGCTTAATGCACCCATTCAGGACAGTGGGTATATATTAGTGTGCTTCCTGCACCCGCTCAGTGCAGTGGGTGTCTACTACTGTGTTTACTTCACCCGTTAATGGCAGTCGGCATCTATTACTGTGCTTACTTCACCAGCTCAGGACAGGGGGTGTCTATTACTGTGCTTACTGCACCCTCTCATGGCAGTGGGCGGCTATTACTATGCTTACTGCAGCCTCTCATGGCAGTGGGCGGCTATTACTGTGCTTGCTTCATCGGCTCAGGACAGTGGGCATCCATTACTGTGCTTGCTTCATCCGCTCAGGACAGTGGGCATCTATTACTGTGCTTGCTTCATCCGCTCAGGGCAGTGTGCATCTATTACTGTGCTTACTTCACCCACTCAGGGCAGTGTTGATCTATTACTGGGCTTACTTCACCCGCTCAGGGCAGTGTGCATCTATTACTGGCTTAATGCACCCATTCAGGACAGTGGGTTTATATTAGTGTGCTTCCTGCACCCGCTCAGTGCAGTGGGTGTCTACTACTGTGTTCACTTCACCCGTTAATGGCAGTCGGCGTCTATTACTGTGCTTACTTCACCAGCTCAGGACAGGGGGTGTCTATTACTGTGCTTACTGCACCCTCTCAGGGCAGTGGGCGTCTATTACTGTGCTTGCTTCATCCGCTCACCACAGTGGGTGTCTATTACTGTGCTTACTTCACCTGCTCAGGGCCGTGGGTGTCTGTTACTGTGCTTTCTTCACCCGCTCAGGGCAGTGGGCATCTATTATTGTGCTTACTGCACCCTCTCAGGGCAGTGAGCGTGTATTACTGTGCTTCCTCCACCAGGTCAGGGCCGTGGCCATCTATTACTGTGCTTACTTCACCCACTCAGGGCAGTGGGCATCTATTACTGTGCTCAGTTCACCCTTCATGGCAATGGGCATCTATTACTGTGCTTCCTGCACCAGCTCAGGGCAGTGGGCATCTATTACTGTGCTTACTTCACCCACTCAGGGCAGTGGGCATCTATTACTGTGCTCAGTTCACCCTTCATGGCAATGGGCATCTATTACTGTGCTTACTGCACCCGCTCAGGGCAGTGGGCATCTATTACTGTGATTACTGTACCATCATGCATCCTCCCTTCTGTTTAAAGCAGCACCTTGATGCCTTAGGAGGAACCAGGTCCTTCCCACTCAATCCAGGTGTTGCCAGGCCAGAAGCACGTGACCCAGGCTGGGTGAATCAGTGCCCTGCATGCCCCGCCTCAGTGCGGGGGTGAGGACCTGATCCAAATGGTCAAAGCCTGATGAAGGAATCCTGGGCCTGGAGGAAGGGCTACCGGGAAGAAACGTTCCTTTTCTTTCTGGCTAGACTTCGGCTAGACTGAGAGAATGCAAGGCTTGAGCAACAAAGGGGGAAACTGTCTGCTCTAAGGAAGCGACATAGAGCAAGAGGAGGGTCCCGAGGATGTTGCTTCATTGGGTCACACCATTCCTGAGGCAGTCTACTCTGACCTTCAGTTATGGGGTCCAATAAATCCCCCCTTTTTCTTTTGAGGAAAATTAGCCCTTATCTAACATCTGCCGTCAATCCTCCTCTTTTTGCTGAGGAAGACTGGCCCTGAGCTAACATCGGTGCCCATCTTCCTCTGCTTTATATGTGGGATGTCTGCCTCAGTGTGGCTTGAGAAGTGGTGTGAATGTCTGCGCCCAGGATCCAGGCAGCGAACCCCGGGCTGCCGAAGTGGAACGTGCACTTAACCGCTGTGCCACCGGGCCGGCCCCCCAATAAATTCCTTTTGTTTAATCTGTTTGGGTTGAGTTTTCTGTTACTTGTATCCAAAATAGTCCCAACTGGTGCACCCAACGGCCATATGCCAGAGTCGGTGTCTCTTGGAGCGGCAGCTCAGAGAGAGAGCTGTCCACACAGGACACCATGGAGAGGACACGCCTGCCTCAGTGCTCCCGAGCCAGAGGAGCCCTGGGCCTCCTGGGAGGGCTGGCTGAACCCGAGCAGGGTAACGGGTCTGAAACCTGGGCAGGGGTCCAGCTCCCCCAACAGTCCTGGCCCCGCGGGCTGCCCTCAGCGCTCCGCCCAGCTCCCTCCTGGATGCGCACTCTCCCTGGTCCCTGTCCTGGGCGGCGGTGCCGAGCTCCCGGGTGCAGCCGAACCCGGTGCTCCCTGGGGCCGGAGTCCTCCATTTTCACGCGTAACTGAAACAAACTGAGCAGAGGGTGACCTGACCTGCGTGCGATTTTATACCGTATTTTGTACTGTAATCTAGTCTATTTCATCAAAAAGAAAAAAGGAGTGATGGTCACCACCCACCGCGTCGACTACGAGACTCATCAACATCGTCGGGAAACAACTTTCCGGAAACATGGGTGAAAAGTGCCCTGCGTGGGCCCGGCGGGACACGCGCCGGGTGGGCGGGTCTCTGGCGGGGTGGTTGCACTGCCGGCCTGGCGCTGGGGAGGACCTCCGAGCACCACGGTCAGCGGGCAGGCGCGTTCACAGGGCAGCAGGGAAGGTCCTGACACAGCCGGTCCCCCAGGCCCAGCCGTGTGCGCGGCCGTGGTGATCTGGAGACCGGGGACAGGTCGGGACGGCAAGGCCCTGCTGTGTGCTGCCCAAGGCCTCAGACTGGGTCTGAAGCCATGGCCTATCCACCCAGCAGCGGAAAAGCAGGGCAGAGCAAGTCCTGAACTTCCTTTGGGCCTGGCCCCCTATTTCTTACCGTACCGGGAAGTCTTGCTATTTTAGACGAAGCCCCGACTCCTGGACAGCAAGCCCCAGGCCACGCAGCTTGGATGTGTCTCAACCCAGATTTTCTTCTGCCGCTGATGAAAAACATACAGATACCAGGGCCCTGCTCCCGGACTCTGGTTTCACTTTGGGGAGGAGGTCTCAGTTCGGGCGCTGTTTGAACAACTGCCCAGGCGGTCCTAGTGTGCAGGCAGGCTTGAGCCGCACTGAGCTGGAGGCAGCTCTTCCCACCAGGCCGGCCCTCGCATACCAGGCGCCCCGCCCAGGCCTGGGGCAGCCCGCTGTGGCTGCAGGCCCCGCCCTCTCCCACAGGATGGGGCAGCGGCCAGGGGCAGGCAGCTCTGCTCCCCAGCACTGGGGCTGGGGGAGACTGGCTAAGGCAGGGGTCTGGGAAAGCCTCTCTGAGAGGTGGTGTTTAGTCTGCTCCCTCATCCCCAGGAGCTAAAAGAAGCCGGGCATTGACCAGGAAGGACCATCCACGTAGGGCTGGAGTAGGATGACCAACTGCCCCGGCTTGCCTGGGACTGTGCTAAAACCAGGGCGGTCCTGGGCAGGCCTGGATGAGCTGGTGCCACGAGAGCCTGGAGCCACAGGACAGGAGGGAGCGCGGGGTGAGGTGGGGCTGGAGGGAGGCAGGGATTTCAGCATTTTATTCTCCGTGCTGGGGGCTGGGACACTCCCCTTTGGCTGCCTGCAGGAGGGCTTAGAGAATGTGGCCACTTGGGTTTCAGGGAGCAGGTGAGCCTTTGGGTCTGAGAGGAGAGAACCTGGGAGGGAGCGCCTCTCTCCTCTGATTGGGGGCCTGCATCCTGAGCTGCCCGGCTGCTCGGGGTCCATTAGCCCTCTGTCTTCATTATTTAGGGCCACGACTTACCTTTCATTCAACAAAGCCAGAACGGGGCTGCCACCATAAATGCGTCTGCAATGGGGCCCGGGCGGCTGGCAGGGCCTCCTCGGAGGCCCATCAGCCTCGGGGAGCGGACGGTAACGATCATTTACATTAATTAGGCAGCTGGATAATAGGGTGTTCAATAGTTATTGCAGCCTTTAAATCCTACAGCAAATGCCGCCAGGAGCCCGGAGCTGGCAGGGGTTCCCACCTTGCAAAACCCAGTCCTGTCCTCACCTTGGCAGGCAAGGGGGCTTGAAATTCAGGAGGAAAGGGAGCTTTCCTTGAGTTCTAGAAGAATAGCTGATTTCCAGAAGAATAGCCTATCCGCGTGACCCACCGTGAACTAACCTCACTTGGCCAGCGCACGGGCGCCCAGTGCTGAGGTTCCACCGAGAGCATGGCCACAGAGCGCACAGCTGTGACAAGCGACAGGCCTCGCGTCTGGAAGATGAGACCCTACACTGTGGGAACTCTCCGAGCTTTCTGGTGACAGCTACCACACAGTAAACTCAGTTCGCTGGTTTATTCATGATGCTTGTTTTATGGTGAAGACCGGGAGGCCCTGAGAGGGGTGGCTGGCCTTGGGTCACAGAGCCAAGCCGCGTCAGGGCCCCCTGGAGGCGTGCCCACAGCACTGCCCATCCCAGGCCCAGCTTTGCCAGCCTCCTCACTTCTGGCTTCCCGAGGGCTCCTTCTTTCTCCGCCTCCCCTGCACCCCGCCCCCCGCTCCCGCTCCCTGCCCCCCTGCCTACTCCTCTTTGCTCTGAGAAGACCTGGGCTGCACCTCCTCCTGCCCCCTGGGCCCGCTGCCTTGCTCCCAGCCCCTCTGTCACTGCCTGGCTCTCCCAGCTGGGCTCTGGCCTTACAGGCCTCTTGGCTGTGAGTGGAGGCTCGGGGGCCTTGAGAAGCCAGGCCTTGTTTGTGGGGTGCTGTGGGCAGTGCTCAAACCTGTTTCTGTGCGTCCCTGACACCAGCACTGGTGTTGGGGTCTAGGCCTCCTGCTGGCCTCCCAGCCCTGGCTCTGGCCCCTCTGGCTCATCTTCCTGACCCCACTTCCCCTGCCCTGCCCTGCCCTGTGCCTGAAGCCTCCAGCCCAAGCCAGCCCACACCCCCCAGGTCCAACTTACCCTCTGGTTCCTCAGCAGGACGTCCCTTTCCCTGGCTGACCCCAGCTCAGCCCTCTGGCCTCATCTGAAGGTCAGCTCCCAAGGTAGGCAGCTTCACCTTCAGACCTGCCAGGTGCCCCGGCATGGGCCCCACCCAACCCTGCAGTCCCCATGGCCCCTGTCCCCAGCACTCACTGTCTATCTCCCCTGCTAGATTGGCAGCCTCATGTGGGTGGGGACCAGAAGGTCTGTGGCAACCACACCTAGTGACAGTGTGGCTGCCCTCTGGGTCCCTAGAGGTCCAGGGCAGAGAAAGAGCCAGTATTTTGAGAGGTGGGGGAAATGCTAACATTGTGAGTTTGGTGACATGCTGCATTTCTTAGGACTTCCGATTTCCTTGTTTTAATTCCGTGATTCTTGGGCAAGAGCTGTTAGGGTGACCCAGGCTTATGGTTCCGAACAAGGCTGCGTGGAAGATGCTGAGCCTTCAGACACTTATCAAGCGCCACTTACAGACTTATCCGCAGAAAGAACACGACCCTAAGTGCACAGTCCTGTGAGCTCTCAGCCAGCAAATGCGCTCGCGTTTCCAGCCCCCAGCCTGTGTGCAGAGTCACATCTCCTGTGGGCTGCGTGCCACACACAGCACGTCAGCCCAGATGGTGCCGTCCAGTCTCCTGGGGAAGGCGTTGCAGACAGACCCCCTCCCTCAGGAGGGCGCGCTCCCGGGGCTGGAACTGCCATTGCTGCTCCTGCCCGCAGAGGAGCTGACTCGTGTTTAGGGCGGGAGCGTGCTGGAATAAGCTGGAATAAGCCCTGAATTGTAGCGTGGTTTAAGTCCCCCAGGGTGGCCGGGTGCGAGGTGCCGACATGGGCGGCACATCAGGAAGCGATGTGCACACTGGTGGGCGCCTCCAGCACACCCCCGGCTTAGGGCCTGTGTGATTATGAGCAGCTCACAGTCAGACACTTTTGGGGAGACAAGGGCAGCTAAGGATGCTGTCCCTGTCCCCCACTGCAAGGCAAGCTTCCACTGAAGGGACGGGCAGGCGTGGCAGGCCATCTGCGATGTCGTGTCCCTCCCTCCCCGTCTTCTGGCACAGGGGCCATTCAATTTGTGTGGATTCAGTGACCTACCACAACGCCACGCTCCCTGTGTTCACGTCCTTTGTGGTGGAACCTAAAGGTTAAGAGTGAGGTGGGCCTTGGACTCAGGTTTCCTGACGAAGTCTCCTGACTGGCTTCTTTAGCTCGGCCTCTCCCGGAGGGTCGCCAGCACCAACCCCCCAGTCCCCACGGCACTGGGGTCCATTGGGCAAAGCTGGAAAGGGCAGAGAAGGGCCGGCACGCTCGCTCTGTGTCACAGCTGTCTGGGGAGTGTAAGCTCATCCGGCTGAGTGGCCAAGAAGGGCAGGGCCCAGTGACGCCCGCAGGGCTGCCTGGGGCACTTGCCAGTCCGGAGGACAGGCAGGCTGTGGGCCTCAGGACACAGTGCTGCTCTGCTGTGCACAAGCCACGGCGATGGGGCTTGTCTGGGCCAAATGGGGGTCACTGGTCGGCGTCATGCCTGCTGTGCGTGCCAACCCTTATCCATCATTAGGGCCACACCCTTGGCTGATTGTTTTTTTTTCGTCAGACAACAAATATTTAACTGAACACATTATGTGCAGGCAGTGGTCTAGACTGCACAGAGGTGACAATGGTGACAATGGCCAAGAAGACAGGCCAAGTCCCGGCATGCGTTAGAACTGACATTCTATTGGAGGAAAATGACCAAGCAGATGAGATTCTGTTAGCTCCCAAGAGGCGCTGCTGGAATGGGGACGGGCATGCGATGGAGGGCCTGGGCTGAGGCCTCCAGAGCTGCGGTGGGAGGGGCTGCCCTGTGCTTGGTGGGGAGGGAGCGAGCGGCAGCTGCGGCTCTGCAGAAGCAAGGCGGTGCAGGCCGGGGAGGTGCTGGCTCAGGATGCGGGGCCCTTGATGACCCGGGTCGGGGACCAGCTGTAACTCTAAGTGCGCTGGAACGTCACGTGTGGGTTTTGAGCAGAAGACACGATCTGAGTCACGCTTCATACAGGTCACCTCGGCAGTGGCGGGCCACACATGATGGGGGGTGCAGGGGAGCAGGGGCTGCGGTGGCTGAGACGAGATGGTGGGAGGGTAGTGAGTATTGGAGTGGGACACAGTGAGAGGGCTGGAGGGGGAGCCAGCAGGACTCAGTGAAACTTGGGACGGGTGCGTGAACTCAGAGGACTCCAGGATGACCCCCGGTTTCTAGCTTAAGTGACTGACGGAGACACGGTTCACTGAGGTGGGCTGGAGGGGGAGGGGGCTTGTGGGGGAAAGGCAATAGCTCTACTTGCAGCCACATCAGGTCGGGACGCCATGAGATGTCCAGGTGGAGATGTCACCGGGCCTGTTTTCATCCCTCAACAAATATTCAGTGAGTGCCTATCAGGGGTCAGATGGTGCTTCTAGACACTGGGGGTGCAGCAGTGATCGCACAAAGCTGCTCCTCCAGGAGTTCACAGTGGGATGGAGGGAGGCAGACCATCAAGTTACAGATGCAGAATGGGGCTGGGGAGTCAGGCTGCCAACGCGATTTTGAGTCTTAAGCATATGTGAAGTTGTGGACGAGGCCACCTAGGGAGCGAACGTGGAAGAGCTCACAGACAGAGTTCAGGGCTAGTCCAGCACTCAGATGCTTGGGAGAGGAGGGCGATCCATGACAGACGCTGAGAAGGCGGCCACTGAGAAGGTGGCCCGGGAGGCAGGAGGAGACAGGCAGTGTGGGGCGACAGGAGTGTGTCGAGAGGCAGAGCATGGTTAACCGTGTCAAACGCTGATGAGAGGCCAGACAGGACAAAGGCAGGGAATTGACCACTGACCTGGGAAGACGTGCTCCGCTGGAGAGAGAGCCGTTCAGTGCAGTGGTGGGGCCAGCAGCATAACGATCCCCACTTCTCCCATCTCATCCCAGCCCTCCCTCCCGTCCCAGAAGGCACAGCCTGTCCTGGTCTGTTCCATCTCACTGGATCCATGCACCTGTGGGGTGCGGTGAGGGCCTCCGGGAGCGTCCTATTTCCTCTTCCATCTTCCTCCCTCGCCACGCCCTCTCCTCATCCAGGAGCTCAGTCTAAAGGACCAGGCCAGCTAACTTTCCCACGAGGGGTGTATGAAGGGGCAGGTCTGCGCTCCCGAGAGCTGCCTCCTGTGGCTGGACAGTCATGCCTTCTTTGGGCACAACTGACCAGGACACAGAATGGCTGAGCCCCACTTGGGGCCGTGTCCGTTCTGGATCCCTGCTGGGGATGCCAGCTCTACCACTTCTCTGTGCAGCCTAGATCTCTCTGTGTCAGTCTACTAAGCAATGCTCGTCCTTCACAGCTCAGGAAAAATTACCAAGAATGTTATTGACGCTAATTTTAATTTGTCTGGCACTCTTGTTAATGATGTCTATTTAAGACATCCATTAAAGGCCCATAAGGTTAATTAAATGGACAATTCCAATACAGTTCTATCAGAACCCCCTCTATTAAATTAATATTATAGACATTTAACAGATGTCTTAATTAGGCATTATAGCTAAGAAATGCAAACTAAATTAGAACTAAAGCCATTGTCCAGAAAGCAAGCTTTTTATCATAATTTATGACTTTTTGGGGGAATGTTCATGTTTACTCTTCAGAACCTCAGAGATCAGACATTTGACAATCTTTTCCAGCATCCAGAAAGCGGCATCCCGAGAGTCCCAAATCCTAAATCATAGTCCAGATGTCAGAGCTGGAAGAGACTTTAGACCCATCTGGAGCCCACGGTCCTCGCACACCATGAGTGGAGGAGCCAGCTGGGGTGTTGGAGAACCACGGCGCCTCCTCCCTGAGTCTGACTGCAGCCCAGGTCTGACCGCTTTCTACACGCATCCTGCTGACTCTGATCCAGGAAGTCCCAGAGTCCCACTTAGGACACCCTGCTCTAGTCTCACAGCCCCGCTTGACAGATGGACATTGAGGCCCCAAAAGACTCCAGGACTGGGTGACTGGACCAGCAGAATTCCACATCCTGCCCACGGGTTAGAACTTTTCTAGCAGCTCCTGCCATCTCTCCATTTCCACTAACGAGCTGGGCGTCTCCTATGGGTTTGCGACCAGCAGCCATGGCCCCGCAGCCCTTCCCCCCTTTCTCCTGCTGGCCCTGAGCCCAGGGGGCAGATGACTTCCTGGGTCCTCCAGGATGGCACTGCAGGCCCCTGCCCTGAGCCTGAGTGTAACCACACTCTTCACATCCCAGCCCTGCCCAGATCCAGAACCCCCTCCTCCAAGGAATCTCCCTTGACCACTCTGCCCACCTGTGTGCACAGGTCCTCCCCCAACCAGACTTTGCCTGGCCCCACTGGAAGGGCAAGGGGAGTTCAGCTGGTTGCAGGAATGAAAGGGAACCTGGCAACCCCAGGGCTCCTGGTACTGGAGGGAGCAGCTGGACCTCAGTCCCTGTCTGAGCAATCATGGAACCCAGTGATGCTGAGAGCTCAGGGTCTAGCAGCTGGGCTGGTTGACCAGGCTAATGGTCCAAGCACCCCATACTGGGGTGTGGGAAGGCAAGGGCAGTGGCTGAGGATGGGGGCCAGACTGGGCACTAGAGCCTTTCTGGGGGGCCACAACAAGTCTGGGGGACAGCTCCATGGTTGTATGGACTGAATTATGTCCCCCTTTGAATTCCTGTGTTGAAGCCCTAACCCTCAATATGCCTGGACTTGGAGACAGGGTCTTTAAGGAGGTAATTACAGTTAAATGAGGTCACGAAGGTGGGGCCCTGATCCCATAGCACTGGTATCCTTACAAGAGGAGGAGAGACACCAGAGAGCTCTCTCCCCACAAGTGTGCACAGAGGAAGGCCACGTGAGGACACAGTGAGGTGGCCAAGGATAAAGCTCTCAGCTGACACCAACTCTGATGGCACCTGAATCTTGGATTTCCAGCCTCCAGAACGGTGAGAAATGCCCAGTGAGGAAGCCGCCCACTGGCAGTGTTGTGGCGCCAGCCCTGGCCACCAGCGCTCTGGCCACGACCTCGGCTGCCCTCCCTCCAGGTGCTTCGGCCTCCTCCCCCGGAGGCTCTGGCCCTGCCACTGTGTCCTCCAGAGTCGGACCCAGGGAATTAAGGGTCACAAGCCCACTAACTCTGCGAGACAGCAGGTCACTGGGCTGAGGTCTCCTGGTCCCATAGCCTCCTGTGCCCCGTCCGAGGTTGGCCACTCTGCTGCTCCATGAGCCTCTTGGGCCCAGGTTTCTCCAGTGCACGGTTTCCCCATGAGGCAGACTTAGCTGTGTCTCACACTTGCCTGCATGCCCAAGGGCCCAGCTATACTGGGGTCTTGCCCCTGGGCAGTGAAGATGGAAGTCCCACACTGCCTTCTAAGACAAGCCCCGAACCGCCGTGGGGACAGGGCCAGCCCTGACCCATCTCCCCTGGCATCCGGCCTTGTGCTGGGCAGCAGCTAGTGCAGCTTCATCAGGGGCACACTTAGAGCCAGTGCGCTGCCTGGCCTGGGCCTCCTCGTCCCTTCCTGCCCAGGGATGGCGTGGCCCTTGGGGCACAGCACCCAGTGACCGCAGGGTGGGCATCCTGGGAACAGGCAGGCAGGCACAGCAGCAGCTGCATGGCAGGCGAGCGTTCTTGCCCAGTCTCCTTGGGGAGCGGGAGAGAAGTCTACAGATTCAACAGCCACTCACGGAGACTTGAGTCTGCGCCAAGTGAAAAACAGATTTCACATGGCAAGTGGTACCAACAACTTTTCTGGAAAGCGACTGTATATTTACACAATATTGGCCGCCTTTTGCACTGCGGAGGGGTTGGCAAGAGCAGTGTGGTTAGAAGTTACAGCACCTATGCTGTTACCAATGTGGCACTTTCAGACGGCCGGAAGAACAGAAGCCACTTTACATGGAAGACAGATTTCCTCGGTGGGAACCACGCTATACACTTTAGAACAGTGTCCGCTCATCCTTGCGGGCATCCTCTAGTCAAAAGCCCGGCTCTGGAGCCAGACCATGGGCTTCAAATCCAGCTCTACTTCTCTCAGCTGGGGAGGTCCTGGGCAAAGGAGAGCTTTGAATGTGAGTCTCCTTGTAGCAAAACAAGTATGTCACACCCAGGGCTGTTGTTGGCCCCGGCTGCCCAGCCCAAAGCAGTGCTGGGACTCGAGCTCCGCACCACAGGCAGCGATGGATAGCCTGGGAGAGCATGGAATGAAGCCAGCTGACACCCGTCCTGGAGAGTGAGGGATACCTCACACACCGGGGGTGGGGTCGGGCTGCCAGGCCCAGTCCCTGTGAGACTCTGGGCTCATTCAGCCTTGGAGGCGCAGTGGCAGAGCTGGGCCTCCCGCCCTCCTGTCCTAAGTCAGGGTTACATTGCCCTTCTCCGCCACTGCGTTCCTCCTCCACGGCGGACTCCGCCTGGGCAATACCAAGAAAGCCAAGCCTCTAGCACTGCGGCTTCTCCTGCTGGGAAGGAAAACCATGTGCACTGGCTGCCAGCTTGCCGCCAGGAACGCTCCTGCGCTCACCCTGCTGCTGGGCAAATACTCGCTTCTGAAAGGAAAGGGGCACTGGGTCCTTCTGAGCCCTGTGGCTCCTCTAACACCAGACGCTAGAGGCTGGCCCGGCCAGTCCTCACTCGGTCCCTGCCCGCAAGGGCCTCACCCACTGGCCTGCAGGCACACCACCATGCAAGGTTGGGGCAGACGAAGCGCCAAGCCTTTCGGCTGCAAAAATGGAACGGAAATGTCAACTGAGCCCACTGCTGGGGACGCTGGCTCTTCCGGTTGGTGAGGCCTTGGCAAGTGTGGCGGTCTCCGCTTCCTCTCAGCCTACCTTCCGCTGGAGCCTCCCAGACTCAGAGCGAGAGGGCTGCTGCGGGTGAAGCCCCCGCCCGGGACAGTCACTAATAAGCACAGCCAGCCCTGGTATTGGCTTTTGTGCTCATCCCAGTGCCAATTCCCGGGGAGAGCGAGCCCCAGGTGACTTAGCAACTTCCCCGTTCCCTCCTCTTCAGCGTTCCTGAAACACCAACGCAAACCTTGGTCAGGGAGAGTTCACAGCAGGCCCGATCTAAGGGCATGTGTCAGAGACGCTCTGCACCACGGGACCATGGAACGCGGCAGCTGATGGCAGGCGTCACAGAGCACAGGGAACACAGTCCAGGCGCAGCCTCGGGGCTCCCCGTCCCTTCCCACTTGGCTGAGCCACAGGAATTGTTTACGCCCCCATGTGTATTTTATTATGACACAAACAACTGATTTAGCACAGGGCATTCAGACAACACAGAAAAGTAGGAAGAAGAACTAAAAACCAAACCACCCCACTGTTCAAGTCAACCCGTGTGAATGCCGGTGTTCTCTGCCAGCCCCTCCTCTCACGGGAGGCACACGGGCTCAGCGCCGGGGACATCTGCCCGCTGCTCCCCACGTCCTCACTCAGCACAGCGCGTTTCTCCCCAGTCAAGGGTCCTTCTCGCAGCTTTTAATTGGCTGGAGGTGCTCGACCAGCAGAACGGGCCTGAGCGTCTCTTCCCTGAAAGGCGGCTGTTCGGGTCACACACCAGCGCCTTTGGCAGCAGGTGCTCACAGGTCAACCGTCCCCTTCGCTTTGAACTTCTTCGCAGACCGCTCACTTGATCGAAGCTGGAATTTGCTCCCGTAAATGTAGGAAATGAAGCCGTCGATTTCCACAGTGAACACACAGTTTAGCTTGGGGATAACTGAACAAAAGCGGGAGAAAAAGATGAGAGAGAAAAAGACGAGGAAGGAAACCCTGGCAGTTGAGCTCACTTTCACGCAGAATATTATTCCTAAGATGTCTGTAACAGAAAATAAGCTGACAAGAAACAGGGGCCACAAAGGGGCCAGCGCAGGACCGCAGGCTGACTCTGCCGGGAGGCCAGTTCAATACCACTCGACGCCTGAATTTCAGGGTCAGAGGCTATGAACCAAACTCCCAGGAAAGTGCTAGAACGACTGTCCCACATAACCGTCAGGTGGACTCACAGCTCTGTGCTCAGTGGGGACACGTGGACACCACTTTCTGAGGTTTGAAACGAGAGCAGAATATACAGGGAAATGGGTGGAAGCAACAGGAAAAACCAAGCTTAAAAATGAAAGGAGCAAACCCTTCCGCTGTGCTTCTGCAGTCTCTGGATGCGTGCGCGAGGCAGGGGTGTGGGAACCTGGCAGCTGGCAGCCCAGCTCGGCTCTCCAGAGCCAGGAGTGCATCGAGCCGACGACGAGCCTGCACTGGCTTCCCCTGAAGCTGAGGGCTCCCCCACAAGGGCGAGGATCTCGGGACTCAGGGACAGGCACGACCGTAGCTTCCTTGCTGCTGTCTGTTTAGCGACATTCCTCTGGGCAGGTGGAGGGTCTGGGCTCAGCAGGCAGCCCTGCCCTCCCTGGCTATATGGGGCCGTGGGCAGCTGGGGGCAGGGTGGGTCTCTGCAGGCTCAGGCTGTAGGTCAGCAGGAGCCTGTAATCTGTGCGGACACGAGAGGCCAAGGCGAACCCTCAGAGCCGGGAGGCCACGGGCCCGTGTCCTGGGAGACACAGTGACATACCTTTCAGGCGGTCTTCTTTGGTGATGATTTTGAAAACGTGCTTTGTCTCCTGTAGAAGGATTCCTGTGACACCCACATAGGAGGGGCACTTGGATTTGGTGACTGTAGAGGAAAGGGGAAGCTCAAGGCTCGGGCCTCTGTGGTACCAGGGGCCCGCCTGTGGGGCCAGGGCTCTTGTCCCACCCTCACGCCCGTGGAGGGCGAGAGCACCAGAGGGGCAGGCCAGGCGGAGGGCCTCAGCTAGGCAGGGCCGCCTGCACGGGAAGCCAGGCTTCCCAGCGCCTGCCGCGGCTCTGCTGCCTCCGGGCGCTCTGACAAGGGGGCCTCTGGAGGGCCTGCAGCCCTGGGCCTGGGCAGGACTCTGGAGCCAAGGGGGTACATGTGTGTCCAGCACCACCAAGACCCCCAGTCAGGCGGCTCACTCACAGGATCTGAAGCAATACCCATCCAGCACTGTCTCCCCATAACCTCCCGGACTGTGGCCAGGGCGCATCCTGCCTGATGGTGCGCGGCAGCAAGATGGCAGCAGGTCCCTCCACCCTTGCCTACCCTGAGCTGGCCCCAGCACAGGCAGCAGACATTTGCTGAGCACCGCCTGTGCCTGGCACTGTCCTGGGTAGGTGCTGGGCACAGCGGGGGACAAGACAGTCCTGGGCCTGCTCTCACAGAGCTGATGTCCTAATGCAGAAGGGATGACGCGTGCCTAACCAGACAGTTCTACTTCCTGATAGTGGTGAGTGCTCTGGGGTAATGAGTACGGGGGTCACCTTTAGCAATGGCAGACACTCAGGGGAAGCATATGAGGCCTAGGGACCTGAACAATGAGTCAGTTTGTAAACACACAAAACGTTCTGGGCAGAGTGAAGGAGCACGCGCAAAGGCCTCCTGGTGTGTGAGCAGCAGAAAGCAGGCCAGCGTGCTTAGAGCTGGCGCCCAGGGAAGTCCGAGAGGCCCTTTGGACCACAGGAAGGAGGCAGAGAGCACAGAAGATGATTTCTATCACAAAACCTTCGCTCTGGCCGCCTGGTCACAGGAGGAACAGTGTGTCGGCAGGGAGAGAGTCTGGCGGCTTCTGCAGTAACCCAGGAGAGACGGTGGCAGTTTAGATGTGGAGTTAGGGCGTGCTGATGGATCGGAGGGGAGATTAGGAAGAAATGGGGATGCTCCAAGGTTTTTGGCCTGCACAACCAGGGTGAGCAGTGGTACTAGGAACTGAGATGGGGAAGACCGGGAAGGGCGACATGACGGGAGGCCTGGAGCTCGGTCTGGACGGGAAAGCCTGAGGCCTACTGGATGGTGGGTGGCCCTGTCCAGTGGACAGCCGGGTGACTGCAGGAGTTCCAGGGGAAGGTGTGTGCTGGAGATGACACCTTGGGAGCTGTCAGTCCTCAGCTGACATTTAAAACCACGGGATTGGATGGAAGGGACTTTCTGCTCACGATTCCGGGCCATGGGTGAGTGCCCGCAGCTGCTGTGCCCTCTGGGACACTAGCAGGGGTCCCTGTGCGGGGAAGGTACACAGAGGCCATTTAGAGCACCCCACAAGCGGCCAGAACTGGCTAAGATAGCCACAGTCACCTCCAACCCTACGTGCTGGTGACCTGAGGATGTCCACGTGGCAAGGACAGTGTCTAACGGAGACACAGCACCACGCTGCCCGAGTGATGGCCTGGGAGGCAGCATGTGCTCGTGGGCAACTCACCAGAAACAATGGCGCCGTGAAGATCTGCCTTCAACAGCTTGGCCTGAATCAGCTGTGGCTGCCTGCAAGGTAAACACAAGCCCTTACTGTGCACCACCACAGAGAGTTCTGGAAGACACACATGGGTCTACAAAGTTCTGCAGCCAGGCAAGGCAGGCCGTGGGCTCCTGAGGCTGCACTTACAGATCCTTAGACTCAGGTTCTGTCCCAAAGGGCAAGGCTTTGGAACTGCCACTCACGTGTCTGGCTTGAGACCATTGCACAGGTCCCGGATGTACTGTTTCCAGAGTTCATGGAGAGGGAGAAAAAGACTATACCTGTGTCAAAGTCAGAAAGAGGTAGAAAATTAGACACTGTGAGCTTGGCTTGATGCCAATGCCCATGACCTGGGGTCACTGGGGACTGGGGGCCACCCAGTTCTATTGTGGGTAACAAATCCATTACTTTCCCCGTCCAAACCTCAGCTTCCTCACTGGCTGAGCCCTCCTGAGGCTAAGTGTCTGCTAACGAGAAAAGGGAAGTGCTGCCTTTCTCTGACCTTTCATCCTTCCTGCCGGCAAGATGCAGCCGTGAGAGCTGGAGCTCAAGCAGACATCTTAGACCAGGAGGCAACATCTAAAGATGATGGAGCAGCAAGGTTGCACCCAGGGCCATACTGCCTGGGCCTCTGACGGCTGTGGAACCGCCTGCTACACCAGCCCAGGATCGTGTTCACTGGACGTCTGCTCATCTTCATGTCTAAGCCATTGTTATTTTCAGGTTTTCCGTTACAGGAGGCTGAACTTGGTAAGCCCTCAGTGAACAGGAGTTGCGACTGTCATACAGGTCCCTGTGTAAGGTAACAGGTCTGTCTAGAAGGTGAGTGAGGACCCCCGAGGCTTTCCACTGGAGCCATTACCACTTGTCCTGGCACCTCATAGGGAATCCACTTACCAACAGAGCTGTTGGTTAGAGAAATGAGGACCTCAAGCTCACAGCCCCCGGGGACTCTCCCGGCGGGGCCAGCAGCGAGGCAAGCCTGGCCAGGCGCTGCTTTCGTGAGGGGGCCACGGACCAAGGGACAGGCTCTACTCGCCTGTTGGGATGTGCAGGCTGCTTGGCTACAGATCTTGAAGCGAAAGTCGACAAACAGCCCTAAGACAGGCAAATGCAGAACTGCGGCCAAGGAGAGAGGGAGTGGCAGCCAGGGAGGAACAAGTCCTCCCACAGTGGTGCGTCCCTCTCAGAAACTTCCCAAACACGTGGGCAGCATGTTCTCTGGCAACAGATCCCCAGAGGGTCATTCTGTCCAGTGCTGCTAAAAGCTACAAACAGATACACATTAAAAATACCAGTTCCCCTTTTACTAAGAAAGCTGAAAAACAAACAGCCTGTTACCACAGGCAACTGACTCACGGATGGCCCGGGTCTTAGAAGCCAATGCTAGCACAGACACCAGTCAGCCCCGCCAGGCTTGCTGTTAAGAGCCCAACCCAACAGCCTGCATTGGTGAGGGTGGGCTGCCCCCTGGTGGCAGAAGCGGGAGCGGCTCCCCCAACCCACATCCAGACAGGAGGATGCTGCCGCCGGGCAGGCAGCAGGACAGGCCTGGCGTACCTCTGCTGCTCTGGTTTGATGTCAAAGAGCCGCAGCGCCCTCCTCTGCCTGGCAGAGAGGCCTCTGGACTTCCTCTTCCTCTCCTTCCGCTTGCGGCGAGTGCAGTACTCCAGAACCACGGCCTTGCGCTGCAGCTGGTCCTCGCGGGCCTGCTGGCTCATGCGGGGCGTGCTGCGCTTCAGGAAGGCCCTCACGAAGGCCCCGGCCCGCTGGGCTCCCGGATGCTGTGCGGGGACAGGGCGGCATGGCGCTCACTGCTCTGGCTGCGGCAGCCTGGGACCGCAGGCCCGCCCACACACTGCCGCGATGGGCTGCCCTCGCTGACCCTCCATCCATCCCTCGAGGCTCACACAGCCTCTCACCGGCTGAGTGGTCACTGGAGAGCCATCCAGATGTGCAAGTCACGTTCAAATGCCAATTCATGACTGCCACCCAGAGCAGCCGCGCAAACTCTGCCTTCCTTCCCTGCTTCTCTGAGGTTCCTCTGATGAGGATTAAAAAAACCAGCTTTATCTTTGGAAGAAAAGACTTCTCTCATCCTTGGAAAGGAGGAAAGCTTGACAAATGTATGACAAGGATATTTAATCAGTCGTGACCATCTGAAGACAAGCTCAGAGTAGAACCAAGCTATAGCCTGAAAGAAATGATCCCAGCACTAGGGAAAGTGGCAAACCCAGAGAGCCCCAGGCTATGCCGAGCCTCGGGGGAGGGAGTTTGACACTGCAGCCACGGGGCAATTCTCTTCACTTGGGTCTCCAGCCCTGTGGACGCAGCGTGGCTCCTCTCCAAGTCTGTTTCCACATCCCTCGGGGAAAGGAACTGTCACTGCATCTTGGCCCCCCACACTCACTCTCTCCCACACAGAGCACAGTGTCGCATGGCTGTGACTGAGCACAGGCTCTGGGAGAGGACTTCTGGGCACAGCCACTCTCATAACTGTGTGTAATTCCTGAAAGGACTCTAAGCATCACTGCCTCTCAAGTTGGAATTCCACCACTTTATTCCTCACTGGGGTGCCTCTGCCCTCTGGCCTGCCACAGCTGGGGAGCACTGTCTACTGACACCCTGCCTCTCAGCTGGGCCCTTTCCTGGACCCTTGGTGCACTAACCAAGCTGAAGACACCTTGAGGCTAGTCTGTCAATGGAGATCAAGCTCTCCCTTCATGGGGAGTGGTGTAGGGAAAGGAAGATGTGAGGCACAGAATCTTCAAGGGAGCTCACAGTAAGGTAAGGAGCCTTCAGATGCTAACTAAACAGTCATTATCGTCATTATTATTACCCTGAGAGAACAATTACTTAATTCTTTTGAATACCTAAGTGGCCCCTCTTTCATGGAGAAGCCAAATAAAGGTAAATTGGTCTTTTAAAATTTTGATTTCAAGGTGCTCTCTCCTTCGAGTGAGTCCCCAGTGGAGCTTCCGCCAAACTGACACAGCAGGTCTGCAGCATCCACCTATGACCCAGAAACTCCAGCCAGGAAACGCCATCTGCCCGCCCTCTTCAGGAGTGGAGGGGGCACAGTGACAAGGTCAAATAATGCTGCCTACCAGACTGGTTTCAGGGGGCATAGCCTGGTGTCCCCTACACAGTGGGAGATGACACAGATCAAGAAGTCCCAGATAACCAAACCAGACTCTGGCAGAATGGAGGTCAGCACACAGAAACAGCCCATCAGAACAGCAGACCTTGACAAGAGCATAGCACGTCTACTGGGGAGATGAGAAGACAGACATAGGAAATGACGTCCAAGGCAGCACTAAAGGCTTCGCAGCCACCGAGCCATCTCTGTCGTCACCTGTCGCTCCCAGACCTCCTGCCAAGCACTGTACCTGAACATCCAACTCCTTTGCCTCTTTCTGAGAAAACGCATGGTAGATCACACCTGCAGGATTAAAAAAGCAAACAAAATGATCAATTCCTGTTGGGTATAAGACCCAAGACTTTTCTGACTATGAAAATAACTGCTTATTCAGAGACAGGAGAAGAGCCGGTGGTACAAAGGGCACAGCTTTAAAGCTTTCCTGGACGTCTCTTATCCTGCCCTCCGAGAAGTTCCAAGGGGGTGCTTTAAAACAGTGCTTCTCAAACTTCAATGTGTGCCAGACTCTCGGAGAGCTTAGTAAAATGTGGAGTCTTGAGCCCCACTCCCAGATCCTGTTTCTAACGAGCTCTCAGACGCTACTGCAGGTCAGCGGAGCACACTTGGAGTCACACTGGTTTCAATACCACAGGTTACGAGCTTGAGTTCTGTAAGCCTAATGATGTAACTCACTTAAAAGTTATATGATAGAGCTTTCTGGGATGCAGATGATTGGAAATATTACGTTTTGTTAACTGTAAGATGTTTAAAAAAGATTTTTCATGTTTTAATATCTATGAGATTGGGGTGTATCACACAACTGATGCGCTGCGTCCACAGGGCTGGAGACCCAAGTGAAGAGGATTGCCCCGTGGCTGCAGTGTCAAAATCCCTCCCCCGAGGCTCGGCCTAAACTGATCAAATACAATATGTCATTCCTCAAACTCAAAATGATCAATGTGGTTTCAACCTTAAAAACTTCCACACTGGACTGGCTCCATGGCCGAGTGGTTAAGTTCATGCGCTCTGCTTTGGCGGCCCAGGGTTTCCCCCGTTCAGATCCTGGGCGTGGACATGGCAAGGCTCATCAGGCCACACTGAGGCGGCGTCCCACGTAGCACAACCAGAGGCACTCACAACTAGAATCTACAACTATGTACTGGGGGGCTTTGGGAATAATAATAATAATAAAAAAGGTTGGCAACAGTTGTTAGCTCAGGTGCCAATCTTAAAAAAAAAAGCTTCCACATTCCTGTTTCTTATTTAATTCGTCTGAAGAAGAAAACCATTGCACTGGAGACAGAGCATAGGTGTGAACGGAATAAAAATGAGACAGAGGCCTGATTTAGGGGCCAAAAGACTAGAAATTTGGTTCACACTACATTTTATAAATTCCTGCCCAGCTCCCTTGTGCTTCCTTGAGTACACCTGAACAAGCAAACCAAAGTGGTTACAAGTTCTAAATACAGAGTCTGGTTCTCCCTCAAGTGGAAGACGGGGATTAAAACCTGTTTGCAGAGGGCAACTTGCAGGGCCTGGAACCCCAGGAATGACTGCTTCACTGTCACAGGTGCCTAGCGTTAGACTTGGAAGTCTTTTCTGTAACAAAACACATCTAATGGTTACTGAGCACTCATTACCTACCATGCACCCGATTAAAAGCTACACGTATTTTATCTCATTATACTTTCTGAACAATCCTTTAAAGGAGTTATTATTCCTATAATGCATATAAGCAAAGTGAAGTTCAGATACGCTGAAACAGCTGATCACATGGGAGTAGCAGAGGTGGAACTCGAAATCTTGACCTAAAGCCTCGTTTTAACGGTGTCTACACCCCTCTGCCTGGAACTGCCCAGTGTGCCTGCTTCCCTCCTTAGCACATGTCTCTTCCGCTCAACTCCCAAAGCATTGGGTTACCAGTGTCATTCCCCAGCGGGCTCCCCGCGCTTTACACCAGACGAGGGTCGTTACGAACAGCAGGCTGGGCAGGCACCATAATCAGAACCTCACAGAAGGGGAAACCAGGTCGGGAGGAGCAGGGCCCCGAGCACGGTCATCCAGAGAGGCAGCGGCCAAGCTCGGCCAAAGCCTCGGGCCCTCCTCCAGCACTCCCCACCAGTGAGCAGCCGCCCCGAGAAAACCCTCGGCTCGGACATCAGTCCGACTCAGAGACTGAGCCAGGCCAACGGGGACGCTGGGCTCAGCCTCACTTATTCAAGGAGGAACAACTCCCATGGCAGGCCGTTCGGACTCCGCAGCGCCCTTTCACCCGCCGCCCGGAGTCCCCGACCCTTCACATCCCGTCCCTCTCCGACTTCGTGGCCCTCAACCCCGCTTACTCTGCATTCTCAAGCCGCTTCCGGTGCGCTCTGATGACGTCTCCTTCAGGAGTCGCTCGCCCTGTACCTCGCTCCACCGTCTTCCGCAGCCTCGACTACCGCAGCCTCGACTACCACAGCCTCTCTCGTCGGTCTGTGGTGGGGAGGTTCCTGGAGCCCGAGGCCGCACGGCACGCTAACCCGATAGCGGACGCGAGCCAACTTGCAGCTGGGGTCCCGAGCGCGCGGAGCTGGTAGACGGCGCCCCCACCATGACGTCACCGACGCGCGCCGCCCCAGGCTGGCGCATGCGCATGGGCGGACTCCGCCGGCCGGCGAGGCTCGGCGGTCGCCGGGCTGCGCGGCCCTTCAGCCTGCGTGTGTAGCCGGCGGGGAGAGGCGGAAGCCGAAGGGCTGACGCGGGCGTGTGGGAGGCTTGGGAAGGCCTGCAGCGGGGCGAGGCGAGCCGACTCGGAGAGACGCGAGGGCGGCCGGGGCCGGGACGGTGGTGGTGGCGGGAGTGGGGGTGCGGGTCCCTCGTCAGCGTCCCCGGGGGTGGCGAGGCCCTGGCGCTGGGGTGGAGGCCGGGCTTCTCGCTCGTCTGCGCCGCCGACTCGCTGTGTGGCCGCGCTGAAGGCCCTGCCCGGCCCTGGGCCCCGCTTCCCATCTGCTGTGAGTGGGCTTGGTTTTCTTGAGACCCAGAATGTTCGTTTCTGTCAGAGATAAAGGCACGGACTTGATTCTCCCTGCTGTGGGCGGGGCCAGGCCGGTGTGGCTGCGGGCCGGAGCCCGCGGATGCGCGCGCCCGCCACCGGGGGCCGGCCTGGGCAGGCTGCCGCGGGGAGCGGCCCCCCGTGCTCTTTCTCAGGGACCCGGAGCTGGGTCTGCAGGTCCTAGTTGAGAAGCATTGGTTTAAGTTTGCTTGCGTGGTGACCTTGAGCCATTTCGATTTGGGACGGGAGGCTGCAGGCCCTGAACTTGAGTGGCTGTGGGGTGGCATGCCCGGGTGAGCCTGAGGCCTTCACGGTGTGTGTGAATTACCATGAAAATGGAAGCGCAGCGTTTAACGCCGTGTGTGGCACTTGCAGATGCCGGAGCGTAGTTAGGAGTCTCTGGGACTGAGTTTGAGAAACTGCACCCGGGGATCCACCATGTGAGCTACCAGGTGTGAATTTTTAAAATGGCTGCGTGAGACAGCAGGAGACGGGAAGAACCGAATTCAGGGCTCTAGACCGGGGGCCCTTTGGAGCAGGACCTGGTGATTGCGGAGAGAGGGGAGGAGGCAGACTCTGTCTGAGAGCTGCTCTCCTAGGTTGTCAGCCAGGACAACCTTAGCTCCCTTAGCTCCCGGTTGACCCTAACTCGAGGGGCCAGGGGGATGCCTGCCCATCTGCCCAAGAATTCCCTGATTAGTGGTGGGGGGGGGGGGGAGGCGCTCCCAAGCTGCAGTTACTCCTAGTTCCCTGATCATTAACATCTTTGTAAAAAGCAAACAAGCCACTTTATTATCCTCGTTATTATTGTCTATGTATGCAGAGAGATGCCTGTCCCTGTAGGTGTCGGTATTAGTGTGATGGTTGCTTATAATAGCAAAATATTGGGAACAACTTGATATTTGACAGCGGTGGATTAAATAGCTGAAGTATGTGCTAATTAATTACGTTAATTAAATGCATTACAATCACAGGGTAAACTTCAAAAGTTCAACTTCCTTGGCTTCATCCCTGAAGATTCTTATTTTGTAAGTGGGTGCCAAGAATCTGTATTTTAAAAAAGTGTTCCCAGGTGATTTTGTCTAGTAATTATGTTTGAGAACTATCGTGGGGTACACTTATATAACGTATATAATGGAATACCGTGTAGCCATTAAACAGATCACATACAATTTTTAAAAAGGTTACAAAATGTTAACAAATAAAACCAAATAAATACACAAAAAGGATTGGAAAGATGATTTTTTTTCTTTTTGTCTATTTTCTAAATTTTATTCAGTGAAAGTAAGGCTTTCTTAAAAATATTTTCCTTTTTTATAGCTATCAGTGACAAACTTTGCAACGTGGATGTGTGTGTTTTCCCACTAGTGACTGGAAGTTCCACGGAAGTCAAGGTATGGTGGCGGCGTTGGAGATGACTCCCTCCACCCCCGAGCACCTTATGACAAACTCCAAAAGAGACACAGAAAAAGGGAAGGAATGCTGCGGCGAACCCCCGGATGCTTTTAGGTTGGCCACTTAACATTTTGCTCTAGTTGTCCAGGTTTCTTTTGACTGCCGCTTTAAGACAGGCCGGCTGTTAGGGGAGCACGCAAGGGAAGTTTCATAGAGGACCACGGAAAGATTGAGCCTCCACCATTAAATGCATATCTGAAAATTAGCACCCTCCTCCTAAGTAAACAACCAAATCTACAGAAACCATTCACCTAGTAGCCTCTGACAATACACTGGAAACATATTTTTCCTACACCCTTTTCCTCCACATTTGGATTAAAGAAAAACATGGTTTCTAGTAGATTTCCTGCCATTGCTTTAAGTTTAAGAAAAGGTAATGATCCTGAAGAAATGCCAGCGTGCCTGCAATGAGGACGTGGAAGGCTTTGTTTTCAGTAGAAGTTGTAAGCCTCCAAGATAAAAAAAGTCAGTCTATTATTTTATGTATTACACACATCCATACACATATACACATAGGGCTGTGTGTATATATATATATATATATGTAGATAGAGGATGTTTTCTTCTGTTTCTTTTAAATGATTCTATCTGGTGCATTTGCGAGCGATGAGGCCGGTGCTGCTTTTCTACAACAGGAAAGCCTTGTCTGGAACGTGGGGTTGACAACAGGACCTGCTTCCAAGGGGGACTTGGAGCTCTCAGTGCGACGAGGCCCAGGTTAAAACGGGGCCTGGCGCAGGCAGCACGGTGTGAGAGAGGAGACCCATCGTCTGCACCCTCGCAGAGCCGGCGCAGTCCCTGAGGCTCAAGATTGTGAACTTCCATGGCCTTGCTTTGCCCTTGATCCGTACGCTGGTCCAGACGTGTACTGGGAGGGGAACCGGGAGTGGTGGTGGTGGGGTCCCTGCACACAGTTGCCCCAGCAACTGTTGTTCCTCAGGCTTACGAGTGCCACAGGAAACTGTCCACTCACACTGAAGACTAGACAGGGAGGTGCCAGGGCTGACACTGGCCGTTCCCACTGGGCAAGCCCTCTCCTGCTGGGTGAGTGGGTGCTCTGGCGACAAGAATCAAAGCACTTGTGCTTACGGGAGGATGACATGTCAGTCCCCCTGGTGAAGAGGCTTCACTGTGCTCTAAGTCCATTTAAGACCCATCATTTGGAATTCCAAACAGCAGAGACTTAACCCTTGGCACGTGTGGCCAAATAGCAGCTTCTGAAATCTAGGTTTCTCAGTCTTTCAACCTCCAAATATCGCTGTTCAAGCTTACCTCGATTCCACATGTCTAAAATACAACTACCTAGATTCTTCCAGTTCCCTGAAGAAGCTTCCCTCTGAGCTGGGGCCGCTGTGGAGAGCTGGGTTTGGGTTTTCATGGCAGTGTCTCAACAGGGGGCTCTGCAGGTCCTCAGAGATCTCCTCCCTGCATTGATGGTGCTTGAGGCCCTCGGAGCGTTTGCCGGGAAGTCCCTGCAGGCTGCACGCCCCGTGTGCACGCAGCTCGCGCTTCCCCCTCGCCTGTTCTGGCCTGCGCTCAGCTTTGGGGAAGCAGCCGTTGGCTCCAAGCCTAAGAGCTGTGTGTTTACATATGTGTGAGTCCATTCTGGTCCAAAGTACGGGAAAGTGAGGGGGAGAAGGAGCTGACAGAAAATCAGCCCGCGCTGGACCTGGGACAGGGCTGGAAAGCAAAGAGACCTGGTGTGTGGAGTTTGAACCCCAAAGCCCTGCCAGAGGTAGGGCCAGGCTTCCCCTTCAGGATGCTCGAAGCCAGAGGGGAGCTGAGGCTGTTTAGAGATCTGATTCAGTGAAGAGGCCCGGCCCTCAGCCCGGCTGCCTGACAGGAAAGGGGGCCCTCCTGGGAGGTGGGCAGACCTTTTGGCTTCCCCAGTCTCTTCTGTTCTTTAATACCCAACATCCAGCTTAAAACTTAACAACTGCAAAGAAGCAGGAACTGTGACCCACAGTCAGGAGAAAAGAATGGTCACTGGAACACACCATAGATGGCCCCGGGGTTTGAATGGGAAGAGAAGGCGTTCAAAATGTTATAAATACAGCAAGTAACTTAGAGGAAAGGAGGGACAAAATGGATGAAAAGATGAGGAATTTCAGCAGAGGCTTGGAAAATTATAGAGCCTTCCAGTGTTCCTCGTGATGGCAGGTGCCTGCGTGTTCAAATGTCCCCCCTGAGACCTCACACACCCTTCCTTTTTGATCATCTGAGAGACAAATGTTTATCTCCTACAAGCCCCGAGGCCTCTCTGGGGCCCCCTGTCTTGCTTGTCAAGCGAAGGTCACCCTGGGGACTGTTCCTGGCCCCCTTGCAGCTCCTGTGCTGCCCGGTGCTGGAAGGGTCAGGTCCCGGGAAAGGTTCTCTGTGCGCCAGGTCCTGAGAGCCACTTCACGTGGCCGGGACTCCTCTGAGGGGCCTCGGGCATCTGAAGGGCTGGGGCGTGGAGGTGGCCAGCTGGAGAATGGCTCCAGGTCCAGGCAGCACTCTGCACCGTTCTCTATCTTGGTGCCACGTGAGCCCTTGTCAGTGAGGCTCCATCCCTGCCCGTCAGTTTGGTGACAAGGAGGCCTGGCCGCAATTTACCCACAGTGCTGGTCTGCAGAGCAGTTGGGGCCTGGGGAGGGGCAGCAGCCCCCTTGTGAGCTTGGAGCAGCTCCTCTATTTTGGGTCTTTGGACTCAGCGGGACCCCAGGAGCTTTGAGTGTATCAACAGAGGATACAGCCCCAACACGCCCTGGAGGCCTGTTGATCTTTGCTTTTGGAGCAGTGACGGCTGTGAGGGAGGCCCCGCACTCCCCCCATAGGAGTCAGGAGGAGGGCGTCAGCCACCCGATACGGGATAGGGTGGTGGGAGGATGTGAGGGGCGGGTGGCAGGAGGTGCCAATGTCGGGGCGTACTTCAGATTCTTGACAAAGGTCGAGTCAGCTGTAAAATCTGTTTTCCGATACAGCGAGGTTCCTTGATGTCTGAAGAAGAGCTGGATTTAATATTAATTTGGCCATTTGGACTATGAGAGGTTATCCTGGCATTTATTATTTATTGGCTTACATTTTGTTTCTGGGGAGGTCTTGGAACATAAAAGCTGCTCCCGGTTTGCAGCAGGATATCCTGGTTTGTCATGAGATGGCAGCCTAACACAAGGATTGATGTGGTGGCATGCAGCTTCTTCCCTGAGTCTTGGAGTTATTTCCCTTCAAGCCTGTCAAAAATCCCGTTTTACAGCCGCTACAAAGAATCGCAGCCCTTGGTGCTGGAAACCACGCACATCCAGGGGCCGGGGTTATTTCTCTATAAACAGTGTAACTTGATTTTGATCAACACCCTCCCTGCCAGAAGGGACGCTCACAGAGTCAGGTGGTTTAAGTAAGATAGAGGTTAAAAGGAGAGAGAAATTATGAGACCCTGGGGAAGAGGCATGATCGTCGATGACATTCAGAAATTGATGGCGCGTCAACAAGGTGGAAGGAGAGGAGGCGAGGAGCAGCTCCGCTGGCAGGATTCTCCGGGAGACTGGCCTGATAGGTATGGGGCAGCTCATGATGAGGGAGGGGTTTCCACTCCTGTCGGCTCTGTTTGTTTTTGGAGGTGCCCTTTTCCCCTTTTCCCGTGAAATGATTTTCTGCCCGGTGACCTTGTTACTACCATGGGAGAGACACTCATGCCACAGAGTAAATGATACAGCGTTGGGCAGTGGTGTATAGACGTGAGCTCGTGAATTTCATTGTGACAAGTGTCCTTTTTTGTGTTTATAGAGGTAGAAACTGAGACAAAGGGAAATGAAGTTACTTGACAAAATGACCACCAATTAAGCTGTATTTATTTTTTTGACATCAGAGGCTCTCTGGTGATATTTACTCATGACGTCTGGGTTAGGAACCACATGACTGTAGTTTTCCCCTCTCCTCATCAGGGAGCAGGAAGTGCTTGTGGAGGAGAGGGCAGCAGCAGCGGTGAACTGCCCTTGTTATTACAGCGCTGCCTGTCAGAATCGCCAGCGTCCGCAGCACTTGAACCTGAGGGCAAGCAGAGCGTTTGTGAAAGGCACGAATGGCTAAATGTCCACTGAGAGGCACAGAGAGGGGCCGCCTCATGCTTAGGCAGAAGAAATGGCCCCATAAAATGCCCCTGTCCCCTCCCTGCGACAGTGTAGTCACAGGCAAGCTCCTGCCCCGGAACCGCAGCTCCTGGAATGCCAGCGAGGAGAGTCATGCTTCCAGGGAGAGCAGTCGCTGTCTCCAGAGTCTTATTTTGAAATGCAAATACCCTGGCGAGGGTAATAAATACCCTGCCATGTGACAAGGTGAGCCAAAACTGAAGAGGCGGGAGGGGCTGAGGTGGGCTGGGGAGCTCCCAGAGGAAATGAACAGCGAGGAGACTTGGGGCGACAACACTCGTGGTTGATGTCACCCTTTTGCCTTCACAATGAAAACCTGGACTTGGAATTTCCTCGGATGTGGACAGAGGCCCGAGAGCCTGACTCTGCTCGCCTGGGTGTCACTGGGGAGAAGCAGATTGCTGTCTGTCTTTATTCTCCCTCCCCTCCACTGAGGGTCTCCATAAACCGGTGTGCAAAGACTGCTGGAGGGGCTGGTGTGGGGGCCCATGGTGCCAGCTGTTTCTGAAGAGTGGGCGCCTTGCTTCCCCAGCTGTGGCAGGTGCTCAGTTCTATTGGCCGAGGCTGGTAGCTGTATGAGGTGCCCGGCTTCCCCTCCCTCCCGGAGACACACCTGCTTCCCTTGAAAGCAGAGAGCACAAATCTTTCATTGTGCTTGAAAGGTTATCTGTTATTAATACAGAATTCCGAACAGAGAACCAGCCCTGAGGGATATGAGTGCTGCATGGGAGGAGGCACATAAATTCGCTCTGATGCTGGGGAGGCCCTTCCTTTTTTTTTTCCTTTTATTAGGTAATTGATCAGAAACATTGATCAGAAAAAATTATGCCTTGTTGACCGTATTCTTGGATGAAGATCAATGGCGTTAATTTTCAGTATATCAGTTCCCAATTGGGCACTAATGGAAGGGATGGAGTTGTATGATATGTCACTGAGCGGGACCCAGGACAACTGCGTTCTCAAAGGGCGTCCGGGAGATTTGATTTCGCCAACCTATTTAACAGATAATAAAGTGGGCAATCACACCTGGTAGAAAGACTCTGCAGACATAGGTTTAAAAGCTGTTCCCAGTCCTTTACTCCAAATGCTGTTGCGTGCTCCCTGAGCTGCCTTCCTGAGAGGGGAATGACACAGCAGAGCTTGGGGCGCCCCATGCCCCTTGTTCTCCAGGCGTGAGCCGCCTCCTTCCCCTCCAGCGTACCTTTCCTTTTCTACACCCCATATCTTGTCCTCAGTGGGAGAAAACTTTGAGTTGAAAGATGACAGTTGACTGTATCAGATATAGAGAAAGCCAGGAATAGTCTATCAGCAAAGGCTTCTGGGGTTTGCGTTTGAGTGTTGGCCTCTTGCCTTATTTTAATGTCATGGTTTTTTGTGTTTCTGTCTTCTTGAAGATGGACCTGAGTAATATTCGTCTTCATGAGAAATGCTGGTTGTGGTGTGAGGAAGGTGCAGAGTTTTTGGCTAGGAAGTGGATTGGAGAAGCATTGGCTCCCCGGCTTCTGGGAATCCCGAGGGTGGGAGCCTCTGCTGTGGAGCCGCTGTGTGGGCCTGTGGCGGACGAGGCCATGAAGAGGAGGAGATGCTGCCACGGAGGGGGCCAGCTGGAGTCACGGACTCTTGTCCAGCCTGGCCGTTGCTCTGGAGGCTTTTCTGCGCCCAGGTGTTTGCTGAAGCTTCTGGCTTCTCAGACTCCAAGCCAGGGCGGTTCCTCACCTGTGACAAGTCAGCCTTTACCGCGTCCGCCTGACGTTGAATGGTAATGGAAGAATATGCTACAATTCTTGAGCGTGGGCGCCTTCGCATTTCCATTTTCCAACTGCTCATTTGATTCTAAACCACTTCAAGGGGAGTTTTCAGCAGAAATTGTTAGAATAACCACGTGTTATTTTTAGCGGGACCAGAAAGTCAAGAAATGGGGCTTAGATGAAATCAAAAGGGAATGTGGTCAGATGGTTGACCAGCTCGACCACCACAGTCCGCTGCGTGGTTGAGAGAAGGGGTGAGGAGGGGTCCTGGTTCCTTGAGATTTAACAAATGGAAGACCAGCCACCACTCCGGATAGTGTTGCCGTTTCCCACCCAGTGACAGGAAGCTGACCTAGCTGGTGTCCGAGCTTCCCTCGGCTTGAGGACTTGAGGCTCCATGAGTGCTGTAGGATAAATCAGTGGCTGCGAGTGTGTCCTGAGAGCTGTTGGGGTCAGGCCCCCAAGCTTCCTGCTGTCGACTGAACTGTGTCCCCCAGCTTCATATGCTGAAGCCCTAATCCCCAAGCTAAGGCCTTTGGGGATGTGCTTAGGTTTCGATGAGGCCTGAGGGTGCGCTCTTAGGATGGCGGTAATGCTCTTATAAGAAGAGACTAGAGAGCTCCTCCCTCTGTTTCGGCCATGGAGGACACAGGGAGAAAGCAGCCATCTGCACGCAGAGCTCTCGCCAGGACCCAAGCATGCTGGCGCCCTGAGCTCAGAACTCCAGCCTCCAGAACGGTGAGAAGATAAATGTCTGTTGTGTAAGGTGCCCCGTCTGTGGTATTTGTTATGGCAGCCTGAATGGATGACGCTGCCCAAGGAGGTGCGGCCTACCTTGTCTGCGGAGGAAGTGGTGAGCGGGTCAGGTGCTCTCTGTTGTGGGGGCTGGGCAGCCTGGTGAAGCGTGCCACAGCGGCCCTGAAGACCCGGGTGGCTCATGGCCACAGCATGTCTGCTGGGGTTCGGCACACCAGGGTCCTCCTCCTTCCTCTGTGTAGACTCTTACTTCACTCCTCCTGAGAAAAAAATGATCAGAGGAGTTTAACTTTTTCCTTAAGAGATTTCCGTATATCTTGGAAAAAAATACAAAACAACCCAATAAATAGCCCTTTATTGGAAAACCCTCCTGTGCTCCCAGCGGCATTCTTCTCCAGCTGAAGACATATGTGAATTTCCTGCTCCAGAACCAGCAGGATAAACCCTGGAATTCCGGGTCTCCTGTCAGACTGTGCTGGGCCTGGGATCGCACCCTACTGCACATTAACTAGTTAGCCTGCCACAGTTCCGTGGGTGCTGGCAGAAGGCACAAGGGGCCTGGCTCAGAGAGCAAGGACTCCATTCTCACAGCAGTAGCAGGGGCCAGAGACGCAGCATTTTCTTGTACTGGTTCAAAGCAGAGGGCCAGGTGACACCCGCACATGCAGCGGGCTGTGTTATGGGACAGGAATGCTCCTGGTCCCTGAGTTGTTATAAGGGGCGGTCAGTGTGCCTGCCCTTCGCTGCCGAGGGAGAGCACATCTGTCTCTCTCTTCCGTGGCTGTCCGCCATGAAATATCCTTGAAAGGTAGTCCAGAGCAAAGGCCTCTGCTCACAAGATGTGCAGAATGGGAGAGACCATGAGGAACTGTCTCCCGACATCTCCATGACCTGTGTCCCACCTTATCTGTCATCACCCCTGCCTCACACTTTATGCTCAGTCATAGCAAACTGCTTGTCATCCCTGCTGCGTGGGCTGTTCATTCACGATACGTCCGCAGCTCCAATTGTCCTTTCTTCCTTCCCAGCCGCTTTTCGCTCATCCTTTAACAGTCAGCTTGAGTGCTGCCGGAGGAGTAGAGGGCGTGGCCCATTTCTCCTGAAGTCCTTCCTCGGTTCTCCAAGACTATATAGTCATGGCCACTCTAATGATTCCAGGTGAATTCAGATGTAAGTACGGCTAATTTTTCCATGCAAATACCTCCCCTAGCCAACTGCAAGCTCCCTGAGGACAGGGCCCTGCCGCGGATGCCTCGGCAGGGTGCAGGCAGGCAGTGGCACACGTTAATTCCTCATGGACCGGCGGGCTGTTCGAAGTCTGTGACTCGGCAGTGGCCATGCAGACGCATGCTGCTGAGCTGTGCTACAGTGAGGTCCTTTTGGGATATTGAGGTTGCCTGCTGGACGTAATTCCCTGAAATTGGCTGCATTGACTTGTGGACTCTTTTATAAGTAGCTGTTGTCTCTGCAAGAAGCAGCCCCCGAATCATACCAGGTGTGTTGGGATCTGGGTTCTGATGTGTTCTGTTAATTGAAGCAACTGCATTTCTCATTCTGACCTACGGAAGGGACTTGCTGGGAGGGGGAGGCACCTCTGTGCTCACGAGGTCTCTCCCACACAGAGAGGCGGAAGTACAAGTTCCTCCAGCAAATGTTTACTGAGCATTGACAGTGCACGGGCAAATTAGAGATGTGGAGGGGAAGGGGGCATTAATGAAAGCCTGGTCTCTGCCCTCTGGAAGCCTCCATCCAGCAGGGTGGGATCATGGCACTTAGTGAAGGCAAGTCATGCATGCGAGACAGATAACAAGGAGATGAGACTTCGCATGCGACTGGATGTGGAGCTACATCATTTATTACTGCATACCAAATTACCCCAAACGGAGTGGCTTAAAAGAACGTTTATTATCTTGTTTCTGTGAGTTAGAAATTTAAGAGTGGCTTAACTGAGGAGTTCTGGCTCAGGGCGTCTCATCTTGTAGCCCAGACATCAGCCAGGGCCTCAGTTCTCTGAAGGCTTGACTGGGGCTGGAGCATCTGTTCCTGAGAAAGGCCTGTCCACATGGCTGTGGGCCGGGGCCTTGGCTCCTCGCCACATCTGCCTTTCCATTGGGCTCTTTGAATTTCTTCACAAACTGGCAGCTGGTCTCTCCCAGAGTCGATGATCCAAGAGAGAGCAAAGCAGAAGCTGCAGTATCTTTTATGACCTACCCTTCAAAGAATGCATCATTTCTGCAGTATTCCATTGATTGCGTAGGCCAGTCCTACTCAATGTGAAAGGGGCAACAATACTAGGAGACAGGGATCATTGGGGACCGTTTTGAAGGCTGGCTAGTGTAGGATTGTCTCCTGCTAGTAAAGGGACCCAGCAGTGGAGAACAGAGCCCCCGGATTCCCTGTGTCTGTCTTTATTCCTGAACAAACTGACAGCCTCTGCGGGGACTACTTCTGGAAGCTCTGCCTCGGGCCCCAGGCAGCGGGAAGAGCTCTGAGTCTGGCCCTGGAGATGTTGCTGGTGCCTGCTTGTGAACACAGAGACGCCCCTGTTTCAGAGAGGTCTCCTGGCAGGGCGGCGGGGAAGCCATGCTCCGCGCGCTCCTCCTGAGCTGGCTCCCGAGGGAGTACTCTCTCTTCTTCGCTGTGCGCCTTTGGGGTGGAAGCTTCCTCCGCCCTCCGTCCAGGCTCTGGCTTGCCTCTCTCAAAAGGAAGCATTTGAATTGCTGACCCAGATTGGTCTCAGCTCAAGCAAGATGCATTTTCTCCCCGGGCCCAAGGCAGTCAGCCCCCAGATGAGGTTTATTTAATAAAAGAATTAGTTCCAGTTGAATTCTCGAGATGGCATTATGGGTTCATTTGAAGCAAAGTGGAAGGGGCAGGAAGCCCAAAGGTCGAGGAGAAGCTAATGGACGCTGTTTTCTGAGCATGCATGATGCACCATCTGAAAAATGCAATGTTTCCAGAATGACATTTTCATTTTCCACGCCTGTGGCTTGCTGTCACTCTCCTCACACATACCCTACGAGGACTAAATTCTGTTTCAGATGCACATTTAGGCCATGGCTCCTTGTGTCTGTGTTTTCCATCCCCGGAGCAGACCTCCAGCACTGATGGCTTGGAGCGGGCCTCTTCAGAGCTCCTGTGGAGATCTAGCTGTTTCTGCCTCCTAGCATGCACCCCACTCCTGAGAATCGCTCACCTGATCTTCACTCTCAGCCCATGAGCATTCAGCGAAGGTGAGTCCATCCTGGGCTCACCCAGTCCCCATGGTCCCTCTGGCCCTGGCGATTGGTTCCAAATGAGCATATGACCGAGGCCAGGCTGGTCAGAACCAGGATTCAGCTCTGGAAATTTTGTTGAACTTGTGGACTCGCTGCCATCAGCTTACCACCTTACGTAGCCACCTGTGCATCAGGCAACCTGGGAGACAGAGAAAAGAGGCCGGGCCTTGACATGTCTGTGCTCTGGAGCCAGCTCCAGCCAAACCCAGCCATACAGGTTCTCTTTTTGCCTAAACCAGTTTGGATGCCATATTCTGTCCATACGATATGCTGCTGCTTTGTGGAAGTCAAGTGTCCCACCGCTCCCACATGGAGCCTAGTGCCTGGGGTGCAGAAGCCATGGGAATGGGTCTCTTAGTGTCTCGTACATGTCCACCATTTGAGGGACCCAAGGCAGTCCAAACTGGCCTCGGCACCATGCACAGATGCCCACCAGCTGGGGCTCAGGTCTCAGGATTGCAGGCTTGGGCTGGCAGAAATGAACCTGAGGCTTATGGTGGGGCTGTCGCAGTCTAGCTTGCTACCTGCTTGTGTCTTGTCAACCTCTCTTGGCAAACAGGGAGAGTGTACCTGCACTGCAGACTTGCTCTGTCTCTGATCTGCAGCCTTCTCTGCGTCAGCGCCCGTTCTTCCGGCCTGCTCGGAGCCAGACCCTTCCCCTCCCCACCTCCTGGGGTCTTGCTCTGTCAATTTTCTCAGGCTCTACCTGTCAATTGCCTTTTTCTCTTCAGACTATATACAGATTTCAGATCTGGACACTGAGCAGAAAGTGCCGCCACCGTTTTGGTCCTGCCCTCCCTTCTAGCTACTAATCTTCTTCCCTTCTCAGCCAAGCTTCTTGAAAGTGTGGTCTGTACCCTTTTCTCCCATCTCACTCACTCCCCGCCACCTCAGTGTCTGGTAGAGGAGACCAGTTTGCAGTATTGGCATGAACAGTGGAACCAGCGCACACGGAGCCACAGCACCGTGTGCTCACGGCGTGGCTGGCATGGTGCCTGTGTGTGCCCTCCTGACGTTGATGCCCGGGGTCCCTGAGGTGTTGGACAGTGTGGAGCCGTCAGTTTCTTAGAACTCTGAAGCTGTGGGTTCCAATCCTCATTCTCTGAGGTGTTTCCTTCTACTTCTCCGCGTCTTGGCCTCCTGGTGCCCCCCAAGCCTGCGGGTTTTGTCTTTTATGTACTGGCCTTCTGCCACCAGCCCCCTCCAGCTCGCTCATGGCTTTAGTTACCAGCTCTGTGCACTTGCTCCCAGATATTTATCTCTGGACCCAACCTCTCCCATGGCTGACCACTGTCTGCTAGCTATTCCGCAGGAATCTCAAATTCAAGATGTCTGGAACGGACTTGTGCCTCTGGCCATGACAGAACAGGAGGGCTGAGTTTACCCTTCCATCACGAACACCTAAAAAACCAGACAAAATATATGTCACAGCTGTTCTCAGGCAGTGAACGATGGGCAGCCAGGGCGGTGGCCATGAGAGACGGAGACAACTGGGGTAAGGCCTGGCTCATCTGAGCTTCCTGCCTGGAGCGAGTCTCCAGGGAGGAGGGTCCTCACAGAGCCCCATGGCCTCCCTGCGACGGGGAGACCGGGTGGAGGATCTGGGGAGGCCAAGGCGGCTGGCACTGCAGGCAGACCACCAGAGGAGGGAGAGCAGGAGAGCTCCCTGGAGGCCCGCAGGCCCACTCGAGCCTTCGGCTGAGTGCCCATCGGTGCCTCGTGTGAGGGGACAAAGCTTGAGGCTGCTGAGAGGACCCCAGGGAAGGAGCAGAGAGAAGGGTCTCTGGAACTCACACGTTCCCAGTAGCTGAGTGGAGAAACCTTGCAATGCACAGGGCATCAGGAAAATACTCAGTACCCACAACTTAGGTAAAATGGACACATTTCTTGAAAGACCCAAATGACCAAAGCTTACTCAAGAAAGAAGTAGATAACTCAAATAGCCCTATATCTATTAAAGAAATTGAATTTCTAGTAAAAAATCTTCCTATAGGGTCCGGCCTGGTGGCATAGTGGTTAAGTTCGTGCTCTCTGCTTTGGCAGCAGAGGTTCTTGAAGGTTCCACAAGGTTCTTGGAGGTTCTCGATGGCATTGGATCTTGAAGTTTCGGATCCTGGACGCAGATGTAGCACTGCTCATCAAGCCACGCTGTGGCAGCATCCCCCATAAAACAGAGGAAGATGGGCACAGATGTTAGCTCAGGGCCAATCTTCCCCACAAAAACAAACAAAAAAACCCCCAAAACCTTCCTACAAAGAAAACTACAGCCTATGGTGGCTTTAGTGGGAAATTCTACTAATCATTTAAGGAAGAAATAATACCAATTATATCCAAACTCTTCTAGAAAATTGAAGATGAGGGAACACTTCCCAATTCATTCTCTGAGGCTAGTATTACCTTTAATGTCAAAACCAGAAAAAGACATTACAAGAAAAGAAGACTGCAAATTAAAATTTCTCATAAATATAGACGTGAAAATTTTTAACAAAATTTTAGCAAATTGGATCCAACAAAATACAAAGAATACATCGTGACCACTGGAGTTTATCCTAAGAATGCAAGAGTATTTTAATATTTGAAAATAAACCAATGTAGTTCATCTTTAACAGATAAAAAGGAAGGAAGATCTTATGATTATCTCAATAGGTGCAGACAAATTATTTGGCAAAATCCAACGTCCACTCATGATTAAAAATCCTCAGTAAAGTAGGGATAGAAATAATTTTCTCAACTTGATAAAAGGTTTCTATTCTCTAAGATCATACTTAATGGTGGAAGATGGAATGCTTTTGCCATAACGTCAGTAATAGGACAGGGATGTCCACTCTTGCCACGTCTGTTCACTCCTCTGCTGGATGTGCTAGTTAGTGCAGTAAGGCATGAAAAGAACAGCATACAATTAGTAAAGGAATAAGCAAAACCATCTTGATTTGCTGACCGCATCTTCACCTATGCAGGAATCTACATAATCTTCGCCTAAGAAACCTACAAAAAAGCTACAGGACTTATAAATGAGTTTAGTAAGGTTGTAAGAAAAAGATCAATATGCACAAATACATTGTATTTCTATATACTAGCAACAATCATAAATTTAAATTTAAAATAATACAATTTACATTAGCATCAAACGTTTGAAATACCTAGAGATAAATTTGGCAGAAGATGTGCAAGTCCTATAGACTAAAACCTACACAACACTCTCTGCCAAGAGAAATGTTGAAAACTTAAATAAATGTGGAGAGATATACCATGTTCAGGGATCAGAAGACTCAGTATTGTTAAGATGTCAATTCTCTTCAACTTGATCTAAAGATTCAACATAATCCCAATCAAAATTTTCTGGAGAAAGTGACATGCTAATTTTAAAATTTATATGGAAGTGCAAAGGTCCTAGAAATAGCTAAAATAATTTTGAAAAGGAAAACAAAATTGGAAGACTGGCACAACCAGAAAGGGAGCAGATAAGTGGCTAACTGTGCTTGGGGTTTAATGGCCAGGCCTGGATTTGGCAAATCTTCCATCCAAGGCTCGAGTTACTTCACGTTACAGACTGAGTGTAAAGCCCGCCATGATCCTCTGGGGTCACTCTCATTAACCCTAGGGACCTATCCCCAAGCATCTATGTGCTTTCTGCTAACTGACTACACCTGCAACTTTCCGTGGGCTGATTTGGGGCATCAGAGCCTCCTCTCCTGCTTGTAGAGAATATGACGTTTTCTCACCCCGACAGCCCACAGACGCGACCAACTGCTGCGGGAGGAGAAAAGCCCAGCATCCTTGCTTTGAGGCAGGTCCAACTCTGAGGAATCATTTATGCTCTGGAGCCTCCACGGGCTCAGGCTGAGTCTGAGACTTCAGGCGAAATGGAATCAACGCCTGTTTGCCTTCTCTTTTCTCCATCCTGCTTCCTCCCTTCTCCCTTAGTGGCTTCTTCAGCAGCACTTTTTCAACAAATCAATTGCCCCTAAGAGAAGCAAGGGTGGCTGAGCACCCAGCGAGTCTCACAGCCCCTTATTTATCTAAGTTTTTCTTTTAGAGACTAAGTCTAGGCTTCCTTTCGCGAAGAGGCCTCCTCAGCTTGTCTCCATCGCTGAGTGGCTCTGTTGACCTATCTTCTTGCCCTCTCTAGGCTTGTTCTCCTGCAGCCAGGAACGAAGCCATGTGCATCTGTGCATCCCTGGTGTTCACACAGCCCAGGGCGGGCATCCAGTAACTGCCAGACACACTGTTTCTAAACTGCACATCTCTTCACGAGGACCTGCTGCAAGGGTGGCGTGAGCTGTGACCCAGGGGTCTTTGCTCTCTGCCACCTCCCTGATGTGGAGAGAGCTGAGATGTCCAAGCAGACGGCTAGAGAGGGAGGCTGGACCCTTGCTGCTGTCCTCAGGCCAGTTTCCCAACTCTGGGCTTTGCATGAGAAGTTGAGTCTCCCAGCCCCCCAGGCATTACAGCTCCCAAATTACACACTCTATTGCTCTGCAATTAAGCAATAATGCAATTAAAACGAACGCAGCAAAGATGATGATCTGTGGGGTCCGTTGATGAAAATGCTTCATTTAAATATTGAGCTCAGTGCGGAGAAAGAATAAACATTCATATCTCTATTTTTTTTATTACATAAAAAGGAATTGGTCTCAAAACAGTTGTGAGTTTTATGAGTCATCACTTCTGTTCAGCCCTCAGCTTTCTGCTGTGAGATGCGCTGGAGGAATCTTTCCCTTGTGGTATCCACTTTGTTGTCTCCACCATGCAGTGGGGGTGGTTCTGCAGGCAGATCATGTCCCTTGCCACTTGTTTGGCCCCTCTGATGCTTTGCTATGACTTGTCTGGGGACCTGCTGACAGTTGCCTCGTACTTTCCACCCTCTTCCTTCTCCTAGGGCCGGGGAGCGGCTGCTGAGTCAGTTCAATGGAGGAGGGGCCATGGAGGCGGAGCTCCATCCCCGGAGCACAGGGTTTCCATGGCACGGCCCGAGGCTGGGTTTCCTGGCATTTCTTTGTCAAGTTGGGGAAAGTCAGCCCTGGAGGTTCCAGAATGACATGGCTCCTTGGCTCTGAAGTGTGACACAGACAGCACAGCGAGTGCTCCACAGAGCACTGCGTTCTGAGATGGAGGCCTTCTTATCTTTTTGGTTAAAATGGTCTTTCCTATTTGAAATGGTGTAATAACGGAGTTCTTTCCTTGGTGTTCTCGCTCACTAAATTCAGTTTCCCAAATTGCTTTGTATTAGGTTGAACCATGGGAAATGGCTAATATTCAACTGTTTTGACCTATAAAAAGTGCTGTTATTTGATCTTTTTGACCAATAAAATGGCAGTTACAGATGGTTCAGTCTACTAATTTTACTGATTCATGAGAAACCAAACCTCTGGAACCGAGTGGCATCGTGGGAAGACCCTCCTGCTGGGCCCCGGGGGGTTCAGAGTTGAGCCTGGTTTCTATGCTTTTCGGCGACCGTGGTGACTCCCCTCGCCTGGACAGGGCTCAGCCCCTGGTCTGTGGAGTGGAACTCGGGACCCGTGTCCTCTGCGGCTCGTGGGGTCATGTGAGACGGTGGGTATTACATTGCCTCTGAAATGCCAAAGTGCCATGTGCGGGTTGGGTTGTGGGCTGCCCGCCGGGTGACTTGTGTCTGGAATCATATCCTCCACTTGGGCGCTGGGAGCAAAGTGTTCCTTCTTCAACCCCCAGTTTTTATCTCTTTGGGTTGAAGACACTTGGGGACAAGCTCAGGGGACTGGCCAAGGTAACCCGTGAGAGGCTAAATCTTGTATTTGCTGTGGCGACAGAACAATTGGGTTAAAAGTGCAAAAATCAATCTGTCAGTTACTTTGTCTCCAGAAGGTTATGCAACCAGTTTGGATCTTTTAAAGAAAGAAACTGACTTTTGAAAAAACCTGGAAATTCAGTTTTCTCTTTTCAGGGTGGCTTCGAGACCATGTTATTTATAAAATGTTTTGAAATTCTTAGAATAATATCAAAGAGGAAAAAAGTATCATTCTCCGACAAGATATTTCTAACTTGTAAACCTCATAAAGTGACTTTACTCAACATTCTACCTACGCAAAATCTCTGCTAACTACATTTTTGTAAAGGGCTTGACGCAGTGGTAAATGACGTTCCTATTATGGACGGGAAGGAGCTGCAAGATTCTCGGGTGACTCTAGGACCTCCAGGACAACGTACCTCAGTGTAGTTAGTCTTTGGAAATTGCAGGTGCTGTGGGGTCCCTGCCCGTATCCTGTCCCCCTTCCCACCTCGGTGCATGTCAGCCCCACTGCCAACAGCCAGCACCTGCATCTCTTTCCTGAGGGCTCCTTGTCACAGGGCACACCACCCCAGAAAGGCCAGGGCCGCAGCCGCTCCAGGAGCGGTTCTCAACAGAGACGGACAGGAGCTGGTGCATAAACCCCCAGGGGGGGATGACTCAGCTGTGGTCTCCAGGCTCCGAGAACTCCCCAGGGGAGCTGTTTCAATTCCCACGGTGGCACACAGCCTGGTAATCCCTCATTGTTGGCTGCCTTCCCTTCCCTGTCTCCTTCCTTCTCCCCTCCAGATATTTCAGGATCTCTCAAACAAAAGACTTTTGCTCAAATCTTCATCTCAGGATCTGCGTCTGGGGCAACCCAAACTAGACAGTCGGGGATCTAGGTGTGGGGTGTGTGTGGTCCCACCATATTAACCAGAAGTACAGGACTATCCAGGACGTGCCATTCCTCGGGCATGTTGGATAACTCCTTAGTGTAATATTATATGTAATAATCGCAACTGTAAGAACTTACGCATTATTTCCAGAGATTTAGTTGTTTTAGCCAAACTGTAGTTTGCTTGTCTTCTTCTATTAGCAGCCCCCAACTTCCCTTTGGGGAGCACCCTTCTCCCAGCCCCGTCCTTAGGTCTAGTGAGAGGCTTATGACTCATGCCCAGCCAACGAGAGTGCCACGTCTCCCTGGCCTCTGTGATTGGCTCTCAGTTTGGTGCATAGCCCAAGCCAGACCAGTGAGAGGCAGCCCCAGGACTTTTGCTGGAGCTTTAAGGAAAGAGGTGGTCTCTTTCCACTGGCTGCTGAACTAGTGGGATGTGAGCCTGGAGCCGTGGGAGTCGTCACACGGAGGGGCCTGCTCAGGACCCAGTCAGCCCCAAGGACAGCAGAGCTGGGAGGTGGAGGGAGAATCGGGCCTGGTGATGGTGTTTGCATCCTAGATCCAGCCACACCTGTCTTTCCAGTCCCATGAGTTGTTTTTCTTACTTGCATTCAGACTGGTCCTCACCCTGCTGCTGACCTGGGCAGAGGGTTTCTCTGGGGGCACACAGGCTTCCCTTCTCAGAAACTGCTTTCCTGGTGGGGTCGTGGTACTGAGAAGAAAACTCCTGGCTCCGGTGCCAGGCCCCCCTGGAAGATCACCCTCCGTGAGGACCGTAGGCTGGCTCTGGTCTTCATCCTGGGCGTGGGTGTATTGGGAAACTTGCTGACAAATAAAAATGGCAAGCAATAGGATATATTGGAGTATATGAGGAAGACATTTGGTATAAACCTAATTCGGCCTGACTTTGTTTTTCCAAAAGGGCCTGACTGTGCCATTGAGCATGCATTCTATATCTGCTTAGACATTTTGAGATAAAGGTGCAACTTCCCTCCCCCTCCAACGTTGGCATCTCCTTAAAGATTAAGCATCTTTCTTTAGGCTGGGAACTGATTGCAGCGC